CGGTTCTAATCTTAACTGCTCGGCTCCTGAACTATTTTTAGGTCTATTTTCGTGACAGTAATTATAGATATCCATTACCGTAATTGGATGATAACATCATTGCGAGTGAAATTTGAGAATAACTAAGCTGGAATAAATTTTTCTGAGGCTAACCCAACGAGCATGGGCGAATTGGCATGCATCAGCTCCTTGGGACTAATTGACGTGTTCTCAAGCAAAGAGCATCGTGAAATTTTTGCAGGTATCTTTATCATCAAGATCATCACGAGACGTAGCTGACCGTAACTGCCAACAATACCATTATTGTGTACTCCACCAAGTCTTGTAAAATATCTCAGAAAACATACTTGATTGAGTCGGTGAATGTGTCTGAGCGGTGGAGCTACGTGTTGTAGCCTATTTCAAGGTCTTCCGAACGAAATGTGAAGCAAAATGCTCAAATAGTTGTGTAAAACGTGAAAGAAAATTTATTTCCAGACCTGTCACGAATCAAGATGTTTTGTTTCTTGATATCTATCCCTTAATTATCCTTGAGACTAATACGAGAACGAGCAAAAACTCTAAAGGCAGCTGAAGAAAGGAACCGTAAAGCACGTGCTTTCGCGATTGTTGCCAGATCCTCGAGCAAGATTATTTGTGCCTATCAGCTCTTAAAGTGCAACAGTTCAAAGAAAAGAATTGAAAAGACCCGAACTATTCGTGAGCCCGATGATCAGAAATATTCGCGGGTCGTTTTCTTTTGTCGCTTGTTGCTTTGCTTCATCGGTGTTGCATGGAGATAGGCCCTATTACAATCGCATGATTTTTGGTTTGATGCAGTTGTGTGGATGGTACGATGTGTTAATCGCGGCAAGCCGAAAACAGTGCAGCAGTATTAGACACGAACGAATTGATATCACTGGTAACATTTCTTACCTCCAGTGGTGTGACATTTCGTCTGGATTTCGAAAGTCACTTCACCGCAGGGAATCCCCTTTTCCAGCCTGATACATTGGTTGCTTAAGACGAATGTCCTCTTAAGAAAAGCCACGAAAACGGTCTTTCATATTTCCAGAGTGCTGCGTTAGGAAATAAAGACCTACATTTTATCATTTACATATATCTATACCTAGGGATTGCGAAATTTTATATACGTCATTGCTTACAAATATATACGGCTATTGTGCCCGCTATCAATTCGTTCAGCGGTAATACTAATCCTGAAAATCCTAAAAATCTTCTAAATCCTGACAGCATCAGTATCATATGTGCAGAGACTGAACCGCGTTGTTTTATCAGTAACTACAGTATTGACTGAAACAGTCTACCGTGAAAACAACGTTTCTTCACCTAATAATTTCTTTTCAGAGATTGTCTGTCCTCATTTTACTTTGACATAACAAAATACTGAGAACAATAAAAGATCAGGTTTTAAGAATTTTTATCTCTCATCTGGAATTGTAATAACATTGAACTGAACTCAGTAAAGATATTCTGCATACTGTTCCACATACATTCTTTAAGGTGCTGACAAGAAGAATTTGTGTAACAATCAACAGCTTCTTTTGCTGCTGATAATTTTCTTTATTCTCAAGACCTTAATGAATGATTAAGGGGTGATCTTGTAAGGAGAAATTAGATGCTAACCACTATTAAGGGTTAATGGGTTAAGTGAAGAAATGGCCCATTGCGGTCAGAGCAATAATCAGGACAAACGCATTTTTCAATATTTATTTTGTAGGAGGCTACTACTATCTAAAAAATGTAACATTGTTTGTTGATGAATAAAAGAAATCACTTGATAAAAGTCTAAATCAAGCCCTTTTAAGAAACTAATCCTCAGCCAAGTCCCAATCCGTGCGGGTATCTATATGAGTTTGACCTTCGCGCGGATCATACAAATGAAAAGTTGAGACTAAGTTGACAAGTAATAACGGGTACGTTCTTATGCCAGCCGTATTCCCAAATCGTTTGGTAAATATCACTTTTATCGAGTGTGTCGTATTTCCTATGTTAGTCGTATTTTCTATGTTATTCCCATGTTATTTCCAATCTTGTTTAGTTTTTCCGTTCTTAATGTATTATGTTTGCAATACTTTATTTAGAAACCAATGGCAATGACGAAAAATTAGAAGAGTTCGATAGGGTCGTCAAGAATTAGACTCGTCCTAAATTTATTGCCGGTTCGCCGGTTATACCCTCAGTCTCGTCTGAAGAACGCTATAACAAACTTATATGTTACATTAGAAACTGTTCTTTAGCCTCCGTCCCATCCACACCAGAAAAACGTGTAGTTAACCGAGTTTAACTCAATGAAAATCAGAAACAGAGACTTAAAGAACCGAATTTTTCCTTAGGTTTCAAGTAGTCACTAACTTGTATTTTTAATGTGCCAAATTTGAAGTCGACAAACATTGATTTGTTTACTATGAAGAAAACAATCTTAATCTTTTTTTTAACAAGACAGTCTTAAGACATGTTTCAGCTTTGGTGTGAATGCGGTATTGGTCTCGACCATTTCCAAGTGCGAACTTAATTAATATAGAAATGTACTAGTAAAAAATATAAAAATGTACTTAGAAAAAATATAAAAATATATTTATAAATAATATAGAAATATACTGTAGCGGACGGAGGGATCTAGAGACATTCCATCGTTGCTCCGAACGCGATATTTAGATAAGACTTTATACTGAAACCAAGTAAGCCACTCGTATCGATCAAAGCTCTTTAATTTCTTGATTTACTTGATTACGTAAAAAACTGAAAGGATAATTACAACGAAAAGCCTATTACTATAATTCGCACAGAACATCGATTGTACAATAACAACGCAAAAGGGGGCGTATCACGGTACTAGAAATTCACAAAATAACACTAATCACGAGCAATAATATAAGAGAAATACTATAACTAAATAGATTAATACAGATTACAACTACAAATCATACCTCTTTCTCCAATCTTAACTCTTTTCTTTCGGTTTCTTTCGAGTAATCAACGCTACTATATTCACACGTGTTATCTCGTCGCTCGATTAAGAAAACTGATCTGCTGAGCTATTTGCATCTCATAACCCAACGGAAGTTACACAATCATGGTCAACTATTACACATTAATCATTACATATACTTATTATAAATGTATAAAAGGACTTATCTTAATTAATTTGAAATAACTATCGCTTTTATAACAGTTGTCTTCTTTTTTGTTACTAACCACGTTAAGCAATACTTTTACAAAGGCATCCTGATCGTTTTTAACCATTCTCCTCTCCCTGATTAGTGTGCACGTATAATTGTCAGACAAGATAGCACCAGCGAAGCTCTCAAGATACTAGTATGATCTAACTTAGAATCTATTTTAGTCTACAAATGTCTTAATAATTAGTGCCCTAGTATCTTTCTGATGATTTAAGAAGAAAACACAGTTTCCATAGTTACTATACACAAAAGCGTGAAGACATTCATCCTTCAAGACCCAAAATCAGCCTCGGGAAGGGAACTTTTTGATATTCTGGAGCGATTTTATTTAACTCGTTACCCGAAACATACAAACGGGCAGCGTCTTTGAAGGCTTTTAAGCGACTAGTGATGAAACACAATTTTGCATAGATGTTTACAAAGTGCTGATGTTTCAATATTTTCTATCCTGCAACATAGTTCCAGTTCTACATATGCATTTATTAGTTTTTTTTTTTATAATATTATAAGGTCTCTCCCTACAAGTGTTTATTAGAATTCGATTATAAACATTGTAGGTTTTTTCTTTTAAGTTTTTCTTAGACCACAAGGTTTAGACTACAAGTGTTTCTTGTCATTGATTATAATATTGTAATGATTTTAGGCGTATACAGGACCCCTCTGGACAACAGCCTCGTAGCTGAATGGGCCACCCTGTTTTAAATAGAGTTCACTTACTTACTTACTCTTCCTTTCGACAGTTACAGGAAATTTTATTTCACTTTATTTATCTTACGCTGTAAGTGTACTTAAACTTTCTCATGGATTCGCAATCTGGTACAAATATTCTACGTCCATTTCCTGTTAGCACTGATTCTGAATTGATTACAAAAGGATTAAAAGAGTTTCATTCGTTATCTTTAATTCCAGTATCAGATGAAACGTTGACAAGCACTGCAAAGTACACATTTCTTGATGCTTATAGTATAAGCACTCGGTAGTAAAGAATTCTAGCCTGTGTTCACCATCCTGGCTTGAATCTTCTGTTTCCTGAGTCTGAGAGGTTACTGCTGGAGTTGACCATACAAAGGGTGCCGGCATATTGGGCAATTACGTCTAAAAGCAAAAAGAAAAGAAACAGTGAGATACAGAGCCCTCGAAGCAAACTTCTCTAAAGGCGGGAAAAAAGGAGTGATATAGTCGCGGATGGGTTTTGTTTTGTATCTGATTGGTCGAGATGTGAGTTTTCGAGACCAATCACAGAGCGAAGTGAAGGAAAGCCAATGCAGTCCCGGTTACTTTTGACACTCGATTTGAATTGCTCACAACCAATAGGTATTCAAAGTCAGGAAAGCGCGTAAAAACGTGAATCACCAAGCCGCGATTGCTTTTAGTTTCGCACTTGATTTTTTGAGAGGCTGGCGCGATTTTTCTGCAAAACCAAAGCAATCCTAGATTAGTTTCAACACTCAATAAAAAACTGCCTTTTGATACTGTACCTCATTGCGTAACACAGCGCCATTTGTTACACCCACAGAATATATGGGTTTGATGTTAACATCCCTAGAGCGCAATGGTGTTTTCATTGCACCAAGTAAGAGAGGTCTTGATACATCAATTGACAACTGCGGAAACGGTTTCACGATGACAGCATCGCCCTTCCAAAGGACGAACGTCATTATCCCTTTTCATATTTGGAAACTTTATGGATGATATCTGATTATGGTAATGATTCTACTTTATGATGGTTATCATCGCCACTATTACTTTAGTTATACTCTCCTTTATTAGTATCCTTTCAAACGTTATGAACAGTTGCTCTGGATTATTTAAGCATACTTACACGCCATTCTGTATCATTGCAATGGCACACTCCCTGTGAACCTTGTGAGAGCATGGTAAGATTTGACAACCGCTGAACGCGTCCTGAAATAGCGTGCAGAATTTAAAGTGTCAGTAACACTCGTATCCGGAAATTTTCAGCCGAGGCGTTGATTCGAGCTGTGTCTATAGAGCGTAAATTCCCGGCTAGGTGTTTAAGGCAATTTAAAAGTATGAAACATGATCTAAAATTACCTCCAAGCAGATGCAACACTCGTCATGTCCTGAGTTCGGCCGACATTTGTGTTTTCCCTCCAGTCGCTTGTCCAAGCAAACATTACACACGTCGCAGTGAAATGATCTGTCCTTATAAATGCTGAAAAAACAGTTTGTTTAAATTAAATTATAGGGCCATTACGTCACTAACGTTATTCCGAGCTGGCGGATTTGTCTCCAAAAGTAAAAACTATCGGAATGTTCCTTGCGAAGATAAAACAGGCTAGTGTGCAATGTATCGTTTTCTTGTTTCAATCTAAGGTACGTCTCTTTATGACCTTTTGGGAAATTGTTCAAAATGTTGTTGCGCAATGCAATACTTTGCATTACTTCACTCCCAGTAGTACTCGGAACATATTTTGTTGGCCAGGCAGAGTCGCCTCAGTTTCGCGCACCGAAATTTGCTTTGCCTGGATAAATACTAAATGGCACTTAAAGAAACGTTTAGAGGGCGTACGAGTTACCAGTAATTATAACGGCCTTTGTTGTATTCCCTTGAAACTATCTCCCTTAGGTTAAAATAAAACAATACATTCTAAATAGGATTTTGACTCCGTTTAGAACTGAATGATTTCAATGTTTAGCATACGGGGTAATAAACGTGTCTATAAGTCGTAGTATATTTCAATCATAAAACAACTTACCGGCAGATTTCGCACTTCTCACAGTGGAAAGGGTTCTTGTCAACTCCTGTAAAATGCTTACACTTTGGGCAGAAATATTCTGACAATTTTACGCCACAGCGTCTGCAGATTTGACTTCCTTCATTTACCTGACATAGGTTACAATATCATCAGTCAAAGGGTGTTATTTTAAAAAAGGTGATTTTTTTAATTTCAGAATGTTGCAAAGAAGTTGTTTATCCCTCTACCAGTTAAACTAAACACAGCGCGCAGTAAATGCGCCATAAGCGCAACGTGTAAGCCATAAGCAATATCTGTAGCAATTTCTGTAGAGGCGCGAGATCAACAGCTGTCCATTGGAGCTACGTTCTCTTGTTTCAACTAAGTGACGAAAATAAACCAGCATATAACATTGGTTTCCCATTATAGAACTGTCTGATCAATCTTAAAGACTCGCACCAACTTCTCACCCAATCAGATTCCAAACTAAAACCAGTGGGGACCTGGACATAACTGTTCTCCCCCGCTTGATGCTAATTGCGTGAAATCACTATCTTCTTGATGATTCGTTGTAATTTTTTCCTATGATCTGATTGGCCTCCATGTTCACAAGGAATTTGGTTTTTACGTCGCTCAAGCCGAAGGCTTTCTATTGATCTTGGTTTTCTGATAAATCTGAAGTTACATGTAACTCACTCCCATGGGATCGTAACGTCAGGTATTTAGGGATAAAATCTTGTTTTTATAACTGTGTTACTTTAAACTTCTTCAGTACGACAAGATTCCTAGCATGTAAAAGATACTAACCTCTTCTTCCCGTCCACAATTTCCGCACTTGACATGCGTCGCATGATGTGCCTTTCTATCATCAGCAGGGCATGTTCCCGATAAGTTGTGACAGCGGTGGCACGGGTAAAACACTCCGCAACATGGAAACTTGACACTACATCTCCGCTGGTAATGTTCACACTGCCATTGCGGAGTCTCCTGAAGTGGATGGCTCTCCGCTGCGGTTCTGTTTTCTCTTACTGTTGTTTCCCTTTCTCTTCGCTCTTTCAATTCTCTTTCCATTCTCTCTCTATTTTCTCTTTCTTCCCTTTCTCTCATTTCTCTCTCTTCTCTTTCTCTCATTTCTCTCTGTTCCCTCTCCCTCCTTTCTCTCTCCTCTTGTTCTCTCATTTCCCTTTCTTCTCTCTCTTTCCTTTCTCTTGCCTCTCTTTGCCTCCGTTCTCTTGTATCCCTATGTCTTTGTGCCGCCTCTCTCTGCTTTTTGATTCGTTCTTCTCGCTCTTTCAGAATTCTATCGATTTCAGCCACTTGTTGTTCTAGAGAAACCAGTGAAGGGTCCCTGGGCGATACTAAAGCAAATGAATCTTCCTGTTGATAATCGAATAGGCCATGGTTCCCTGAGCTTCCTTCTCGTGTCTCTGAATGAACTATTTCTGATGCATTTAAACCACCATTTTCTTGGCTATCTCCATAGGAGGGTCTGTAACTGTTGAAGTCCCCTACATGTTCTTGTCCATGACTTCTTGACACATCATAAGTGGAAGTAACTGGGGCTACACTTGCTAAAGTCGTGCTTGAAGAGAATTGCCGAGTGGTGGTAGGAAAATTTGGTGTAGTAACGACTGGATATCTCACAGCGGGCGCCAATGGTCTGACTCCTAGTGAAGGTGATGCCGTCTGAGTCTCATTTCCTACAGAAAAGTCTTCAAAACTTGAAAAGCTCATCGGATGTTTTTTTCTTGGCAGATTTTCATTCCAGTTAAACGAATCAACGCCTCGGCTGAAGCCACTGGCACCGGTGAACTGCCCCGTCATTAATGTCACAGGCTGGTAATTCACTGGCATCGGATCTCGGTACCGTGGACTCACCGCCTTGGAGTATGCATTCTTTAGTATCAACCTGCTATTTTCCGGAGCTGGTGAACGGGGAAGGCTCCAAAATGGGGAGGAGCTGCTATTTCTGGTTAGAGAGTGTTGAGTCCAATCGTTTGAATTCTTGTTGCTAACTGGCATGTCATAACTTTCTGAAAACGAGCTTTGTGGAAGACTCGTATCTGTCGAGTGTCGGGCGAGAAAGTTTGGATTAATACCAGTTGTCTCCAAGGATGGTATCTTCCCATTCTGGTAATGTGTGTCAAGCGCATTGAACAGCTCTGGATTCTGTTGCACAGTCTTTGGTCTTGCTCCTTGACTTGTAGCTTCACCATCTCTTTCCGCTGAAGGCTCAGCATTCTTTCCTACTTCAAAGCTGTTAGTTTTTTTCAGGTCTTTATCTTTCTCCTTGTCACTTCTGGTGTTATAATTTTTACAAGAACTTTCATTATTGCTGCTGATACCATTGCTACTGGCTAGGCTTCCATCATTGTTCTCAGCACTAGAGTTGCCCGTGTCTTCATCAATGCTGTACTGTGAGTCAAATCGCATGTTGGCGTTTAATTCTTCAGCCAAAGACTCATTAGTTTCGGCTGACCCCAAAAATGTTTCGTCTTCTTTTGGACATAAAGTGGATTGAATTGTGCAACTTTTAGCAGAAACGCCATTGTTGCTGGCAAAGTTATCTTCATCATCGTAATTATTGCTACTTTCGTGATCATTAGGATATTCAATTTCACAGTTTTCATCACAGTTCACACCATTGTCATCGTTATTACCTCCGTCATCATCTTTGTTCTCACTACTTCCTTCGCTATTTCTTATGACATCATAATCATCATCATTATCATCGTCACTATCACCACGATCGTAATCGTTATTAGAACTGCTCGTGTAATTATTGGCTGCTTCGTCTCCCTGTTTGTCTTCGTCTTCAGAGTTACTGTCTTGGCTAATGATATCTTGGTGATGTGCGTACCCATTAAGACGAGAACGGACTCTCATGCCGTCCTCCCCTCTACTACGATGATCCAAGGGTATTTCCGAGTATTTCGAGCTCAGTCGGGGGCTAGATTGGATCGATTCTTCGTGTACATGTTCCATGGTGTTTTGATGATCTGTGGCTGCCAGAGCTACTGAGATAGACAAATTTGTTAGCTCAGGCCTTCGCACATAATTTTCTTCGCTGGGAATAAATACAAATAATTAAAGTAAAATAAATCAAACGACGAAACATTCTATCAGAGGCAGGAGCTAGGCTGGAGCATTATACTTTTGGTTCAATAGGAAGGTCGAGATGACAGGCCGGGGGGGGGGTGACATACCGGAAGGGGCTAAGGGATATGGCTGGAGATACTAGAGGAAAGGAGATACCCGGGTTGTATGGCCAAGGGAGAAAAGAAGCTGCAGGCCTCTTCATGTAAAAAGAGATGAATAAATAACTAAGATCGAAAGGAAAGGTGACTGAAAAGACTCTTACCAAAGTTCTTTTCATGTCTCTCTTTCTGTAGCTCTCCAGTAAACCGGTAATTCGCAACTGTTAGATTTCTTTTCGCAAGGTCTCGTTCATATAAAACGCGACCGTATTCTTCTTTTAACAAACGGCAGTAACTGTCTTCATTCAAGAATTGTGCCTCTTGCCATACACATCCACCTGATGATGAATTTCCAACCTCGCTCTCCAGGGGGGCAATTTCCGTTCGGTTGGTCGTCTTTCAAAGTTCGCCTCAGCGTAACTACCAGCTAGTGTTTTCCCTACAAGCACAAGTGCAGTAAATTCCCAAGCCAACCTATGTAATATGTCTGTATATAATTCTTATTACCCAAAAGCACGTTTATAACATAGCTAGTAAATTTGTCTCATCAAATTATATTACGTGAGCGTGCATCAAGAAGCTAGAGCAACTCTTACGCATCTTTCGTGTTCTCCAACTTCCCGCGTGCCTCATATCTTGATGAACGCACGCTGACGTATGAACCAACTGTTAATTCCTCTTCCTCATTAGACGGACTAAACGCGTGCAATCACAACATCTCCCTTACAGTAAATCAACTGCGGACTTTGTTTGCAATATTATGAAATCTGTCACACTCTCTAATGCAATCATTTACGACAATTCCGTGACATAATTAATATTTACTAGGACATTTAATCCTAATGAATTAATTCGTAACTAATATTCCCCGACAGTCCCCAATCCGATTTCAATTTAAAATTTTGTCGCGCTAATCATTTCACAACGATGACAGTTTTTGCATCACAAATTTAAATTTGTATATTAAATCTCGAGTTAAAGTAAACATTGAATTATCTGATACAGTGAAAACATCTATCGATGAATCGATCATTTATTAAAAGAGGTTCATCATATATTTTATTGGTTCATCAATTTGCAGTGCCATTTCTTTCGAAGATAACTGCCATGGTGAGTTTACTTTGAAAGATCGGCCTAAGTTTTTATCTGTTATTTGTAATAGTCCATGACAATCTTCTTCATCTTTAACTATCCTTGTTTCCCTTTTGTATCCTTTTTGCCTTTTTGGTTTTTTTCCCTACCATTGCCAAATATTATTCGAACGTTTTCATCAAATTTACGACTTCTTCTGCCAACTAAAAATTCCTGATGTGGCTCCTATCAGAAGTTGTGATCAACATTTTACTTCAGACATGCTCGAATAAAGCATGCAATCTGCTGAGGATCAATCTCATGAAACAAAATTAAAAAAAAAAACGATAAAACTTACTTTTGCCAGAAATACACCTCCACGAGAATTTCAGCGTTTGATTTAGTGTGTATTTATTTTTAGAAAGCATGTACTTATAGTTCCTGAAAAGCTATTTTTGGCTTTTCTGTCATTCATGATGTAATTACCTCGTGAACTTTGACATGGGTTTATGTAGCCAATCAGAACACAAATAGCCAGCCGGAATTAGCGCTGCCTCATGCGAGTGTCAGGCTAGTAGGGAATAAAGTTTACTTTTAAGATTTCTAAGAGAAAATGAAGGAAGCCCGGTGCGAGCGATAGAGTTTCCTTCCACCGAATGCCTCGCAATCAGCGCAACAAGACAAATTGCGTGACTGTCGTGCCTCAAGAGCACACGAAACTTGTTATTACATTAGGTAGTCGCTAAAAATAAGCTCATGTAGGGAAAATTAATTTAGAAGTTATTTGTATTTACAGTATTTTCGCCTACGTGACAAATGCTTTAATTTCTTTCCCCTTTCGCTGAGAGTGCATGAAACGCTCGGAAAACGAATGGACTGAGTAAATACGGATTTGATTTCCATATAATGATATCGATCCGTGATTTCATTTCCTTGGTTTCGAGAGGCACGTAAAATTGAGAAATATTTGCATGATTTTAACGAGGGCCGAGCGGAAATATTGGTTGTAAATTATACTCTTCTGTAGTCAAACTATTCATATGAATAATAACGTATTTTTGCTGTATTAGTAATATTACGTAAATTATAGATAAATCAAAAACTAGGTATATTTAAAGCACTGCAAATGGAGGCAGTCATTTACTTTTCAAATACTTTTTTCTCCGAGCTGTCAAGGAAACGTAATTCAGACTACGTTTACGCTTAAGTAGATCAGTTGGATCAAAACTTTATTACTTTAAGGTCCCTTTTGCTGGATTTAGCGAGAAAAGAATTGAAACCATTACGATCTGTTTATAAAATGTTAGTGAAATCATACGAATTTGAAATCAACTTTCGGCCGAAATCAGGATGTGACGAGCGTTGCATCTGCTTGGAAGTAATTATAACTCACATTTCATGCTTTCAAAATGCTTCAAACACATGATTCAGCAGTAAGCAATTTATTCGGCCATGAGGTTAGAGCGGTGCACGAGATTGCCTTGTGACCGAGCTGGTAATCACTTAAACTATCACGTTCCGTAATCACATCGATACACACACCCGATAGCTTGGCATTTCGTAGCCTACGGATAGCCGTACCCTCCCCCGCGAGGTGAAACGGAAGGGAGCTCGAGGGAAGAATTTGTGACTGAATCTGTCAATGTTTCATCGTAATTCAAGAATATAACTATCAATTTTCGCACATAATCGTTGATCGTTGTTCGGTTAATATTTTAACTCAGTATTCAATTTCTTCATTTTTTTTCCACCATGTGCCAGGTGATTAGGTGCGATTACAGTAAATCCTGTGTAAATGTCTTCAAATAGCAGTCGAGAACACGACAGAATGCGAGTAGGCATCTGTGCGGCGATCAGGCTGGTGTGAATGACACAATCGGTACATTTCCAATTGGTGAATGATCGCAATCTTTCTCTTTCTAACTTTCCTTTGTTTTAAAAATCCAAGATGGCGGCCGTCACCACCAAAAATACAAGGATGTCAAATAGATCAGCAAATACAAAGATGGTGTAAGGATCAGCTGCAGGATAGCATAGCTAATAAAGGAATGGCATGGCCAAATTATAGACAGTCTAGTTTTCCTTCGTGAAACAGAACACCCTAAACATGAATAGTTTAGTCAAATGAGAAACGGTCTAGTAGCCCATGTTGAGTTGGATCATGAGATTGTGAAATGGACTAGCTCAATTACGAATAGCTTAGCACTCATTTGCAATACAGTACTCAAACGGTGTAGCGTTGAGTTAAACGGCTCAGGGTAACGTCGAGTAGCACAGCGTACGCACAAACGGTGTAGCGTTGTGTCAAATGGCTCAGCTTAATGTAGAATGGTACAGCGTACACACATATGGTGTAGCGCTGCGGGAAATGGCTCAGCGTAATTTCGAATGGTACAGCGTACATACAAAACAATATAGCGTTGTGTGAAATGGCTCAGCGTAATGTCGAATGGTACAGCGTACATACAAACAGTGTAGCGTTGCGTGAAATGGCTTAGCGCAATGTCGAATGGTACAGCGTACATACAAACAGAGTAGCGTTGCATAAAGTGGCTTAGCATAATGTCGAATGGTACAGCGTACACACAAATGGTGTAGCGTTGCGTGAAATGGCTCAGCGTAATGTAGAATGGTACAGCGAAGACACAAATAGTGTAGCGTTAGGTCGAATAGCTTTGTAAAACATTAGACGCTCTATCTGAACATTAAACTGCTTAGTATTACTTGAAACATTTCGATGTTGTGGCGAATCGTCGTGGCGTGACGTGAAGGCTATGCCATTCCTATGGACGGCCATCACCACCAAAAATACGAGGATGTCAAATAGATCAACAAAAACGAAGCTGGTCTAAAGATCAGCTGCAGGATAGAATAGCTAATAAAGGAATGGCATGGCCAAATTATAGACGGTTTAGTTTTTCTTCATGAAACAGAACACCCTAAACATGAATAGTTTAGCCAAATGATAAACGGTCTAGTTGCCTATGTCGAGTTGGAACATGAAATTGTGAAATGGATTAGCTCAATTACGAATAGCCTAGCACTCATTTGCAATACAGTACGCAAAAGGTGTAGCGTTGCGTCAAATGGCTCAGGGTAATGTCGGGTAGACAGCGTACGCACAAACGGTGTAGCATTGCGTCAACTGGATCAGCGTAATGTAGAATGGTACAGTGTACACACAAATGGTGTAGCGTTGCTCCTAAAATCAAAAGCGAGATTTTAGCTCCCGAAGGTTAGTTAGCAATCGCGCCACGCCAGGTGATTACCGCAAACCATTGGGACAACGGGACCAAGATTTCCTGTGAAAAGGAGTGCCTTGCAAACACTTTTTTTTTATCTCCCTCGCCGGAGCGTTGTGGGAAACGACACAGTAATGGACAAAGTCTCCAAAGGTGAAGGGGAAACATGCGGCAAAAAGGATAAAGCCGGAAAAGGTGCTGAAAACTAAGACAATAAATCGACAGACAGCTCAAGGAATACCCTTATTGCTAAAATTAATTTCTTTGGCTAGGTTTTTATGATTGAAAAATTACGATTGGTGATATTTTGTATGAAGGCTGGTACTTGCATAATAAAAGAAATACGAACTCCAAGGTGAGCGGTTGCCGCGAAAATTCCTCCACAGGTTTCGCCTATTAACGAGATTGACACCTTTTTCATAAAGTAGCCTTCAATTGAAAATACATTTTTGTAAATAATTGGAATGCTTTTATGAGATTTTTAAATTTTTTTTTTGCAAACGTCAAGTAAAATGTCTGACTTCAATTTAGTTAAGTAAAAGAAAAAACCTTGTTCTCGGCTCGTGAGGGGGGAAGTAACCTTGACCATTAATCTCTCTTTGCTTTTTATCAGTTGTGAGCAGTTTTATTTTTTTGCTATTTTTCTCATCTTACAAGTGTAGTTAAAGCTTTCTGACGCATTTGCAACCTGGTATAAATATTCTACGTTCATTTTCTTGTTGGCGCTAATTCCAAATTAATTACAAAATAATCAAGGGAATTTTCTCATTATCTTTAACTCACTAGCATCAAATGAAACGCTGCGGAAACATGTTTAAGGCTGTCTTGTTAAAAAAGATAAAGATTGTTTTCATAGAAAACAAATCAATTTTTGTCGACTTCAGATTTGGCACATTAAAAATATAGGTTAGTGACTACTTGAAATCTAAGCTCTAATGGCCTAACTCAGAAACTATCAGGAAAAGGAACAAGTCTATTTTAGTCTACAAATATCTTAATAATTAGTGCTCCACTATCTTTCTGATTATTTTACAAGAAACTACAGCTTCATTAGTTACAATCCTCGCAGGCGTGAAGACA